GGGAAATGAAAAGAGAAAGGCAAAGACAAAGGGAAAGGAAAAGGGAGGAAATTTTACTGATGGAGTGTAGAGCTCAACCTACCTGAGATCAGAGAAGCAGTCTAAAACCCGCTAGTGCTAGTCCAAATGCAGTACAGGGCGTGGAGGTTTCAAGAGGTCCCCCCTAAAGATTCTCACCCCGTGTATTCCTCTTTTCCTGAGTGGCTGGGCCTGACCTAAGCTGATGAGCCATTTAAAAAGGTTTGGCAGTCAGAACCAGAAGGCATCAGTGAAATCTGAAGGTTTAGCATTCATATTCAGTATTAAGTGCGTGTATACACATATATACATATACACTTAAAGTCTCGATTTATTTTCAAATGTTACATAAATAGAATCTTCCAGTACGAGAATTTCTAAGATGTTTTTTTCTTCAGACAGCAAAATATCCTCAGGATTTATATCCTCAGTTGTGTATAATAGTTCATTTATTTTCACTACTGCGTATTATCGCACTGTGTGTATTATTATTCCAGTGTATATGCAGCCTAACTTATTGAGCCAATCACCTGTTGAAGCATAATTGGGTTGTTTCCAATTCTTGTCTATTATGAATAAATCCATAAAATATTGCTGTACTGGTGCTATAAACACTAATGACCAGGTATTTGTGTGACCACTGCTTTTCACATCTCTATCATAAATGCCCAGGAACACAACTAGTGGGTTGTCTAGTAAGTATGGATTTAGTTTTAGAAGAAAATGCCCAAGTATTCTCCAGACTGGTTGGACCATTAATAGATTCCTGCCAACAAAACATGAGTAATCCTTGTTCTCTCCAGGACTGGCTTTTCACTTTTTAATTTTAGCCATTTCAGTAGATATGTAGTGATTCTTCACTGTGGTTTTAAAGTGCATGTTTCTAATGGTTATCAGTGCTAAACATCTTTACATGTGATTCTTTTTTAAAAAATATTTTTAGAGTAGATGAACACAATACCTTTATTTAATTTTTATGTGGTTCTGAGGATTGAACCCAGTGCCTCACATGTGTTAGGCAAGTACTCTACCAACTGAGCTATAACCCCAGCCCTACATGTGATTCTTTGCCATACAAATATATACTCTTGGGTAAAATATCTCATGGAGTTGGTTTGCCTATTTGCTTCTTCCTGTCCTTTCCATCTCACCTTCCTTGCTTCCTTCCTCCCTTTCCTTTTCTTTCTTCTCTCCTCTTTCTCTGGGTGCTGTAGTTCAAATCCAAGACCTGGCACATGCTAAGTAAATGCTCTACACCGAGCCATGCCCCAACCCCTGGTTTCTCCATTTTCTAATTGAACTATTTCTTTGCTGGTTTTTATATTTTCAGATTCTTGGGATTAGGTACAGGGTGCTCTATCACTGAGCTATGTCCCCAAACCTTTTTATTTATGCACTAAGTTACCAAGGTTAGCCTTGAACTTGTGATCCTCATATTTGAATCTCCCAAGTACCTGGGATTACAAATGTGCATCACTGCACTTGGCTTACTTTTTCAGATACATGATTTGCAAATATTTTCTCCCAGTATATAGCTTTTTTTTCCCTCCCATTTTCCTAACAAGATTTTTGACAAAACCAAAAAATTTGGCTTTTATATCCAATATATTCATTTTTCATGTTATGGATCATATTTGGGGCATCAAATCTAAAAACTTTTTGCCAAGCTCTAGAAGGAAAAGACTGTCTTGTACATTTTTTTCTAACTATTTTATGGTTTTATGTTTTACCTTTAAATCTTTGATCTACATTGAGCTAACTTTTGTATAAAATGTGGGGTTTATGTTGAAGTTTGTTTCTTTGCCTATGGTTGTCCAAATGCACCAGCCCTATCTGTTGAAAGGCTTTCCTTCCTCCATGCATTTGCCTTCGCATCCTTACTAAAAATCAGATAAACAGGTTTATATGCTTCTATATCTGGGTTCTATAGATCAGCCTGTGCCACTGATTGGACTGACTGTCTAAAAGCAGCCACAATATCTTGGTTACTATACCCAAACAGTAAGCCTTAACATGAAGTACAATGATCCTCACATTTTATTCCTCCTTTTCAAAACTGTTAGAGCCATTCTAGAACTTTTGTCTTTTCACATACTCTTATGATATGGAGGTTCAGATCTCCAAAAACATTTTGTGGTTTAAAAAAATTTTCTTTTTTTTAAAGAGAAGGTCTCACTCTTTCCCAGGCAGACTCTCCTTCCTCAGCCTCTAGAATGGCTGGAACTACATGAGGCATTTTTAGACATTTTTAAGTGCACGATTCAGTAGCAATAATTACATTAATAATTTTGTTAAAAAAAAAAACAACTATAACCTACTTTCAAATCTTTCATCACCCCAAAAAGAAATTTTAATTATCTTGAAAAGGTAACTTACAATTGCCCTTTTCCACCAGCCAATGATAACTTCTTATCTACTGCATGTCTGTACTGATTTTTGTACTCCAGGTACCTCATGAGAGTGGAGTCACACAACATTTGTCCTTTGTGACTGTCTTATTACACTTGCCATAATGTTTTTGTGGTTCACCCAGGTTATAGTATGTATCGGAATTTCATTACCTTTTCTTTTTTCTTAGGGACGCTGAGGATTGAACCCATAGCCTATGTAAGGCTAAGCACTTGTTCTACTACTGAGCTACACTCCTAGCCCCTTCCCCTTCTCAAGTCTAAATAATAATTAATTGTACATATATACACATACCACACTTTGTGAATCAATTTATTTGTTGATGGACATTTAGATAGTTTCATCTTTTGGCTATTGGGAATAATGCTATTATAAACACTGGTATACAAAAAGGGTTATGTAAGCATAGATGTTGCAAAGATTACATAAGAGGACAGTGTTAATAGGTTTATTTCAATGCATTTGAAAACACATGAAATAAATTAATTTCTATAGAAAAATACCAAATGTAATTCAAGTAGAAAGAGGACATCCAGAACATCCTACAGAAGTTGATTTACTTGAAAATTCGAGGTAAGCTTTGGCAATTTACTGACATATCTCAAAATAAAAAGTAAAAAGGGCTGGAAGTATAACTCATGGGTTAAGTACCCTTTGGTTCAATTGGAGTATCAAAAAGTAAAGGAAGTGATTCAATACCAAAAAGAAAAAAAAAAAAAAAAAAAAAACCTCCTCAAATAAAATGCTAGAATCAAATGATCTCAAGAAGTGAATATTCAGGTAATCCTAATCTGGCTTCTCTTCCAGAGCTGAGGAAAAAAGAAAACTCCTCAGGTTATAATTATTAAACGTTAATTTAACCTTGACATCAAAACTGTAACAAGGACATTCTTACTCATGAAATTGATGCAAAATTCTAACCAAGATATTAGCAAACTGAACCCAGTGATGTGTAAAGTAAGGAAACTATATTTCATGCCCAATTGGGCTTATGTCAGGAATGTAAATGATTTCCAGGCCCTAACTCCTGCAACAGGGTGACTGGCAGTTTTGTTCACTTAGAAAGAAAGAGCGACAAGTTGCAGCTAAGAGCATGAGAGCAATTAAGTGTCCAGTGCAGGGAACTTGTAAATATCCCAGTTGAGATGTCTAGCAGCACCCAAGGATCCTGCTGTGCAGTCCACCTAGGCTGGGCTGCAGATGGCACTGAGAATCCCCAGCACAGACATGGCACAAGTCTTAAAGTGGGATAGAATTACCCAGGGAAGCTGGGTGCAGCAAAGAAAGAAGAGGATCAGTGTTTAAAGAAGAGGACTCCCTAAAGAGGCTGGCCCAAGAAAAAGGGAAAGAAAGGAACAGGGAGGCAAGAAGGAAAGTGACTCAAGTCAGACAATGAGAAAGAAAAGGAGCCTAAAGAATTCAGTCACTGGGATGCTGTGTGACAGGGAAGAAGCCAGACTGCTGGGGGATGACAAATGAATAGAGAAACAGAAATAGGGATTGCGGCCCTTGCTTACAAAAAGACTGGCTGAGGAGAGAAGCAGAGAGTGTGCAGGAGCCAAGGGAGAAGCAGATCAGAGATGGGCACATGTGCAGACCACCGGACAGGAGGGTGGTAAGCAACAGAGAGGGTGGTGAGCAAAAACACAACAGCGTTCCCATCCTCCACATGCCAGAAAGGAAAAGATGAACTGTCCTTCAGTCACAGCCCTAAGGCATGAAGATACAACCACCACAAGTAGCTCCAAACCCATCCTAGGCAACTGCACCACCTGCTTCCAACACTGATAAAGCCCCAGCCCCTGTCCAGCAACCATGCTTCCAGGGCTAAAGGCAAACTGTTCCTTCCAAGTCAACCCATCCCTGACCTCCACATTGACCCCAAAATGAAGGAGGCAAGAGCAGGGAGTACTGAGGCCAGGACTTGGGGAACATGATCATGGAAAGTTCAAATGGGGCCATGAGTGTTGGACAGGAGGAAGGGCCCTGTGGATGAGGCCACGGACAGCAACACAGACACTTAGCACTACCCTTTTGGTCATATCCACAAAAAACTCGAGACTTGGGGAGGCCCTACAATCTGCACAGGAGCCACAAGTCAAATCCACATCTGTCCCACTGCAAGGCCTGTGCTCTCACACCCCACTACCCCCTGCCTTCTACAACCACCCCTCCTGCTTTAAACCCTAATTACAGTTTGGGAAACTTTTCCAACATCACTTCCCCCACTCTGGCTCTTATTGGTTAGAGGTGTGTCTGCTTCCTTTACACTCACATCATTCATTCCAGAACTGAAGCTCTTTGGCCCCAGGCTCTTTCATGGAAGTGATTAATGAAAAAACGAATACATGTGTAATCACCAAATGTGCTATGTGCCAACTTGCTTCCAAAGGGCCTTTAAATGTCCCTCACAAGGGATACATGATGTCCAAGGCACTCCTTAGCTATAGTTCTTACAAACGCAAAGCAACACTGTCCATTTTGTTTATCACAAGTTCCACATTACTGAATCTAGTCTCCACTGAAAAGATTTCACCATCATTGCATACCTGAAACCAAAAAGCATATCTTACCTGAATTTTGATGGGCCAGGTGAAATTACTGACATAAACAAAGAAAGTGATATTTGGGTGGTTTCGAAAATCAAACTTTTCATTAGAGAAACTGTCTTTGTACTCCTTAATGTTGGTTTTTGAAACAACAGGCATCTCTTCTCCAGCCTGGGTTCCAGCTATTAAGGAGAAAATAATGAAAATTAGGGACTTTTTTGGCAAGAGGTGGGGGATAGAATTTGCTCTTGATAATAATAATAGTATTTACTGAATAATCATAAAGTCATAGGAATAACTTTTATAGATTCTATCTCCCTTAATCCTGAAAACAATCTCATTATCCGTATTTAAAGATTAAGAAACCAAAGTTCCAAGAAAATAAGTAATTTGCCTCAGGCTGATTGGCCAGCAAGGAGTGTAGGTGGGATTTGAGGCTGGGCAGGCTGATTCATAATCCTGTGCCCCAAATCAGAATGGTTTTGACCAGGAACCCCCTACCACCTACCAACCCTGAAACTGTGAAATTACAGACACTAGCAGAGTCCTATTAACACATGCTATCACTCAATCTGCAACAATGCCTCAATTCCTTTGCATTTCCCTTTAACATCTATGTGGCAACGTTCCAGGCATATGTACCAGGAAGACTGGTTCAATCCTCATTTTCTAACCAGCAGTGGCCTCAAGTCTCCACAAGGAATTAGATGCTCAAGGTGATGCCTTCTGCTACCAGTTACCAGTATAGTTAAGTCCCCCATCCTCCTGTAACTCATTTGTTCCCAGATGGTTTTTCCTCATTCCAGATTCTCCCTCAGCCAGGAACTCGAGTGTGAATAAAGACTCACAAAATGCACTCTTTTCCATGTTGAGTTAAAATGTGGGACTACAGCCCCGCCTGTCATGTTTTCATTGAGATGGTCACTGAAAATCTTTTAAGCCCTAATAAACCCCCAAATGACAGCAAAGATTATATTCCTATATTATATTATACCAGTCTGATTAGTTTTTGTGTGGTCAAAAACAAGAGTATTGTAACAGCAGAGACGTTGACAAAACTGAGCTACCATTCTGTGACAACTGCCCATGTTCAAGCATTACATTGAGTACTTCCTTTATCATCTCATGTAATTCCTGCAATACTCTACATGGCAAGGTGTTTTTACTGTCCCATTTCCTACACAAGGAAAGTGGCTCAGAAAGCTACTTTCAACAGCACAGTGCAAGTAAATAATAGGCAGAATTGAACTCAGCTCTATTTGTCAAGTTATCATGTTATGCAGTGGTAATGTGTCCTAACCACTACATCAGGGTCATCAAGTCTTTAATAAATCATAGTTAAGGCAAACCAGATAGCAACAGCTATGCTTTCAGAGTTTGGTTTAATTCCCAATGTATGGTTCTCTGTACCTATTAAAATCTCATTTTATTTAAACATTTCCATTTCTTGAAACTGAATCACTGATATTTTTCCCCTCTGAGTCATGGATCTGGATGTTGAGGACAGTGGCAGAGCAGTGACCACTGCAAGGGTGGGGGGGGGGGGGGGAAGCCACCTACTGAGCCTGAGCCATGGTAGGTGATGGCAGCTCTCACTTCATTTAATCTACATTGTTCTAGGAGGTAAATGTTGCTATGCTCACTTTACTGATGAACAATCCAGAGAGGGATTTGGACACTTGCTCAAGGTCTCATGAATAGTATATGCCAAAACTGGGTTTTAAAAAAAATCCATCTGTCTGTCTCCAGAGCCTCTTTTCCCAACTCCTATGTTACAGTTCTCTACCCACAAACTCCACTCACAGTGTGTTTGCTAGATGTGTCTTTACCTGAGAAGCTGGCAGCCCAGGTGATATTGAGGTTGAAGTTTTTGGAGGCATTGATGAACATGTCCAGATCCCTGTTTTGCTGATGAGAGGTATAAATAAATAGATATATAATTCTACTATTCTTGACTTTCTCAACTACAGAATATTTTACAATGTTTCAAGAGAAATTTGTGCTTATAGAAGAGTTATAAAAATTCCTAAGCAATTTTCCTCAATATAAGCAACATACCCCATATAAAATTTCATTTCCCTCCCAGAAAAGAACACGGCATTCAATGCTTCTTTCAGATGCCTAACTGCATGAAAAAGTTCATTTTTAGAAGGGAGTTTTAAAATATGTTCTAAAATATGTTCTCATATGTAGAGAACAATAATTTATACCTTCTGACCTATGTCAGAGGAGCAAGACTCCTCAGGATCCTCTGGACAGCTGTTTCCAAATATCTGGAGCTCCCACTTACTAGGAAATACATGACCCAGTGCCTCAGTTTCAATGTATTTATTTATTTATAACTTAACCCATGTCTAAATTCATAAATTATAATACAGTACAAAATTTCTCCTATATGGAAATGGTCTTAAAAATTAGTATAAAACTGAAGCATACTAAACAATCATTTAATTATATTCATTCATGATATTATAACATTTTTCTTTTACTAAAAATATTATTTCAAGACAAATATGAATGAGTAAGCTTTCTTAACTTTGACAAACATCTTTACCCCTTAACAGATTCAGCATTTCAAGGGGCAGCCTAATTCATTTTGATTCTTAGTTTTAAATACTGAAAAACTTATCTATGAGGAATGTTGATCCAGATGGAAGAAGACAATGCTTGCTGTGCTACATAAATTCTAATACTAATTTTTAGTTTTCACTGAAACTTGACTAGTAAACTTCTCAGTCAGGGTCAATTCTTTCTGCAATCTCATTAGATGTTATATCTTACATTTTATACATTCTTAATTTTAAAAGATACTAAAACGGGTTGGAAAATTAAGGATGATGTTGTCTTAATATTTATTATAACACAAAACTAGAACAATGGAAATATATGCATATAATAATTTTTAAAATGTGATCTCCAAATAAGAGGTTTCTCTCACAAAGTAGTTACTTTTTCACTTATTGGGAAAACCTCACCTCCTGTTGCTGGCATCAATTGTTTCTTTCCATGATAAGGATCAAAAAAACTCAAAACCCTTGTGTTTTTGTAAAAGAGAGAACATATACATTTGGATATTTCTATTAAATATTCTGATATAACATAAATAGGGAAATGCAAAGAGGTTTGGTTTGACAAACTTTGACTGTCAAGGTCTCTTTCCACTTTATTTATTTAGAAGTATTACGAATATTCTTCCATATTTATTTTTTAAAAATCAAATTTACATCATCAATTGTATCGTAAAAGGCTATGAGCATTTCTACCACTTGCTTATAAATATTAGGCAATAATAAATTTCATGTGTACCAGTTTTGCTGTAACTTTGTCCTAAAATGTTTTTTAAAAATTCCAGATAATACAGTTACTTAAATGACACACCTACACAGTTTTTCCAAAATGTCTTCATTTGTAGTCACCTATTACTTTTACTTAAAGGCCATTCACTGTTCTTCTTTTCATATTTTTATAATTTTTTTTAGTTGTCAATGGATCTTTATTTATTTATATATGGTGTGAGACTCGAACCCAAGTGCTCTTCCCCTGAGCTACAACCCCAGACATTGTTTTCATATTTTGAGATGGGGCCTTGCTACATTGCCCAGGATGGCCTGGAACACAATATTCTCCTGCGTCAGCCTCCTGAGTAGCTGGAACAACAGGCATACGCCATCTTGACCAACAGTCATTCACTCATCTTAATTTTATCATTGAAATGGAATATTTAAAACAAATCTTACTTTCACTTAATAGTAAATATACCATACTATGGACTTTGTTCTGCCTTTTTGTTTTTGAAATTAGTTATTAGTGATAACATGTTAAAAAAAAAAAGGAATACACATTTGTTTACAGTCACATTGTTTTCCATGTGTTACTTGTCACATTTATTGTGGCAGGATTTGTGATGGCAAATGGCTTTAGGTATGTCAGTGAGAAGAAACTTCCAAGGAATGACCTAAATAACTTAAGATCAAGTTTAATAAAATTTTCCCAAAGTATTAGAATGGGTATGGACTTTAGAGAGTTCATTAACAATACCACAGTTCAGTGGTAAAAGCTCATGCTTAGTAGGAACTGGCCCTGGGTTCAAGTCCTAGCATGAAAAGATGAAGAAAGAAATTGTACAGACGCATCTTCATGTTCTAGAAGGTTTGCTTTTAAATGTCATGCTGTGTTGGCTCCTTTCTATCAATAGGTAATGTCTTTGGGCAGGATAGACTTTATAATTAATGAGAGTAGATATAAATGCACATTTCAAATAGTTGTTTTAAACCATGTGAATTACTTTCTGGCCAACTTCTTATTGGACCACCTAAACTTTTTTCTGTTTTACCTCCCAATGAGGCTTAGAATTCCTTCTAGAAATAGAAGTAACACCTAGCACCCCCTGTGCTGTCTGCTTATTCTTGTACCATGGTGTTAACGGATTTCAATCGGGATTTTATTTTCCTGTTTTGGACCCAGTACTTTTCTACTGCTGAGCTACAGCCCCAGCCTTTTATTTTATTTTTTATTTTCACACAGGGTATCACCAAGTTTCTGAGGCTGCCCTTGGACTTGTGATCCTCTGGTCTAGCCTCACAAGAAGCTTAGATTACAGGTGTGGGCCACCATCCAAGTCAGCAATTTTTTACGACTGATTTTTAAGCCCCAGTCCCTTCTGTGAGTAAGTCTGGGCTCTGCCATCTGCTCCCTAATGATGGCACTCCCTTTGCAGTCTCCTCTGTCTGGGGCTGTGATGAGCAGAAATACTAAGTGTATGTGGTGTGAATGTCAGTCTGTGTATCAGGTTCTGGTAAATCTTATAACACTACTGCTCTTACTTTCTGGATGGAAAGGAGATAAAATGTCAACTCTAAATTTTTTTTTCCTGCACTTCTAAACATGCTATATACTGTACTCTACTCTGAAACTACTGTTAAAGCAGTACTTTTAGACAGGATGACCAAGAAAAAAAATCCTAACAAATTCAAAATAAATGAGTCAACTTTTAAAAATCTTACTTCATCAGGAGTAGCTACAAAATTGATGGCTGTGTAATAGCGATCATCTTCCTGGGAGAGGCTAAAAGTGAACTGATAGTCAATGAGAAGAGTATCTATGGAGAGAAAGAAATGCACATTTAAAATTAAAATAGAGCAAAAAAGAACAATTTGCTCAAGACACAGATTGCTGTTCTGAAAAACTCAATAGCCAAACTCTGACTTACCCATATCCAGGTTTTTCAAAGAAAACCAAGTCCTTCGGCAACATCATTTTATTTGAGTTATTCATCAAACCCTCTTTATATAATGACCCTAGATGAGATTTGGCTTCAGCCTAACTCACTCACAAATGTAACTGAACATTTGTATGTGCTAAATTTTGCTTATGGATACAAAGACATAAGTTAATGGTGTGAAAGAAACTAAAACTCCATGGAAAATAGTTGCTTCCAGGTCTGGGCAAGGAATATGTGCCCTGCGTATTTTGTTGCAAAAGAGAAGAAAGCACTCAGAGACTAATGTGATATAGTTAAAAAAGAGTTTAATGCCCCAAACTGGTAATGTAATTTAAAAAATTTTAACAACTGAAACTTTATTTAATAATGGGCAAAGAACTTGAACAGACATTTCTCCAAAGAAGATACACAAATGGCCAATAAGCAGATGAAAAGATACTGAATAACACTGATCATTGGGAAAATGCAAATAAAAACCAAAATGAGATTACATCTCATCCCATTAGGATGGCTGCTATGAAAACAAAACAACAACAACAACAACAAAAAAAAAAAACCCAAAAACAAAAACAAAGAAAAAACCCCAGAAAATGACAAGTACTGGGGAGTGAAACTGGAATGCTCATGCATTGCTGATGAGAGTAAAAAACAGTGCAGTTTCTGTAGAAAAAAGTGCAGGGATTCCTCAAAAAAAATTAAACACAGTGCCAGCCTTGACTTCTATTTTTAGCTCTATATCCATAGATTTAACCATGTAATTTCTGTGGGATTTCAAGATAACCCAAATCCTAGAATTCTTCCTTCATTCTTCAATCAGTCTCTCTCTATCTCTATCTCTCTGAAAAGCATGATAAGATGTTGAGGGAGGAGGGCTGGGATTGTGGCTTAGCGGTACAGTGCTTACCCAGACGTGCGAGGCCCTGGGTTCGATTCTCAGTACCACATAAAAAATAAATAAATAAAATAAAGGTATTGTGTCCAACTACAACTAAAAAAATAAATATAAAAAAAGAAAAAAGATGTGAAGGGAGGAAAAGAAAACTGAGAGAATGGTTCTAAAGCCCTCAGTTAATAAGTGGTAATGGTCAGGAAGGTGGTATGTAAACAGACTTTAATATGGTGTCATTGGAAGATTACTGGTGATCTGGCCAGGGAAGAAACAAAAATCCAAATGTATTAGGTCATAGAAAGAAAAATGAGAGTCAATGAAATTAAAAACAAACAACAAAGAACACTTCATAACAAAATGGTTTCAATATTGCTAAAAATAAGAAACCCTGCCTTTTCTTTGGGTTTACTGGAATAGACAATAAGATGACACTTTCTAATAAGAATTTTGAATTTCTTATTCATTCTATAGGGCAGGTATTAGCATTACATGAGAAAATTTAATTTCAAAGGAAGATAGAAACTTCCCCAAGTTGGTAATAGATATGAATTCAAGTTTGCTTGAATAAAAACAAAGTTATACTCTAAAAAAAAAATTAAGCACAGCATTACAGATGATCTAGCAGTTGCATTTCTGGATACACACCCAAAAGGACTGAAAGCAAGATCTCACATGGATATTTGTTTACCAGGTCATAGCAGCATTACTCACTATAGCCAAAAGATGGAAACAAGCCATGCTCACTAAGGAATAGATAAGCAAAATATGGAATGTACAATCAGATATTATTCAGCCATAAAAAGAAAAGGAAGTCTTACATACACTATAACATAGATGAACCATGAAGACCTCATATCAACTATAAGAAGTCAGCCCCAAAAAGAGAAATACTATGTTTCTACTTAGAGAAGATACCCAGAGAGGTCAAATTCATAGGAACAGAAAAGGACAGGTGGTGACTGGTGTCAGGGGGGAGGAGGAAATGGAGAGTTGTTGTTTATTTTTTAACTGTTTCAGAAACTGCCAAATGGCTTTCCAAAATGGCTATACCACTTAACATTCAATAAGCAATACATGAAGGTTCCTATTCTTCAACACCCTTGCTGAAATATGGTGTTAGCTTTTCTTCTCTCCAATGAGAAATAGATTCTAATGTGCATGATCACAAAAATTTCAGTGATATGTCTCTGCTTCCAAATTTCAACCTTTAAGAAATGATTATAGGTCTGGGGTTGTTGCTAAGTGGTAGAGCGCTTGCCTAGTACATGTGAGGCACCAGGTTCAATCCTCTCCACCACATAAAATAAATAAATAAAGGTATTGTGTCCATCCACAATTTTAAAAATATTTTTTTAAAAAAAGAAATGAGGGGGCTGGGGTTGTGGCTCAGCGGTAGAGCGCTCACCTAGCATGTGCGAGGTTCTGGGTTCAATCCTCAGCAACACATAAAAATAAATAAATAAAATAAAGATATTGTGTCCAACTAAAAAAAATAAATATTAAAAAAAAAAAAAGAAATGAGGGCTGGGGTTGTGACTCAGAGGTAGAGTGCTCACCTAGCATGCATGAGGCACTGGGTTCAATCCTCAGCACCACATACAAATAAAATAAAGATGCATGGTACTATCTCTACTTTTTTGTATTTGCTAAGAGTTGCTTTGTGGCATATTATATGGTCTATTTTAGAGAAGGATCCATGTGCTACTGAGAAGAAAGTGTATCTGGTTGATGCAGGTTGAAATATTCTGTAGGTATCAGTTAAGTCTAAGTTATTGATTGTATTATTGAGTTCTATAGTTTCTTTATTCAACTTTTGTTTGGAGAGAAGTGTGTTAAAGTCACCCAAGATTATTGTGTTGTGGTCAATTTGACTCTTGAAGTTGAGAAGAATTTGTTTGATGGACATAGCTGCATCATTGTTTGGGGCATATATATTTATGATTATTATGTCTTCTTGGTGTATGGTTCCCTTGAGCAGTATGTAAAACCAAATGCCAAACATTTTCTCTGATATAAGGAGGCTGATTCATAGTGGGGTAGGGAGGGGGAGCATGGGAGGAACAGATGAATTCTAGATAGGGTAGAGGAATGGGAGGGAAAGGAAGGGGGCAGGGGGTTAGCAAGGATGGTGAAATGCGATAGACATCATTATTCAAAGTACATGTATGAAGACACGAATTGGTGTCAACATACTTTATTACAACCAGAGATATGAAAAATTGTGCTGTGTATAATAATTGTGCTGTATAATAAGAATTGTAATGCATTCCACTGTCATTTATTTTTTAAAAATAAAAAACAAATAAAATAAAGATATTGTATCTACCTATAACTAAAAAATAAATATTAAAAAAAATGAATAGTTCTGCAGTTTCAATGATATCAAAGGATACTATCCACAATGATCTGAAATGATTATTAAAATATTCCAACCCTTTTCCAGTCTGGTGAGGACAGATTTGCAAATATTTTCTCTAGCCTATTTTAATTTGTTTTGAATGGTGTTTGTTTAAATAGAAGCCTGAAATTTGGATAAAGTCTCATTAATTAACTTTTTCTTTATGAATTATGACATTAGAGCTATTCGATCCAACAGAGCAGATACGTTAACTCCTTTTTCTGGATCCACAATCTGGCATACCAGATTGTATACCAGATATTGTGGATTGCCACAGGGGGAAAAAAATCCATCTATCCATAAATGGTCACCTTGCCAGATTCACATTTCACTCTAAGATAATCATGTGATGTTTTATTTTAAAAACTTGTTCCTAAAGAAGTAGTTAACACAAATCAACTCCAGAAAGAATGATGAAATTTCATCTATATTTTAAGAATTCTGTTTATTATCAATATTCTCAGATATGAAATGTTAGATATCCTCAACCAGGTGGTTGCAAATGAAGTAAGGTTTCGAGAACATAAACAAGGAAATCCAGGGGTGCATGACTCTGTATTGGCCTCTGCTATCTTCTACAAACATTACCATAAACGTGGCCACTTAAAAATAGCTTAAAATAGGCAAACCCACCAAGTCAGGGGACAATTGCATGGTGGTAGCGCTTACCATTCTCAAACCATGTTGTAGAAAATAATGGAGTTTTACAGAACTACTACTCCTTTTAGAAATTAAGAATTACAAAAATACTTACAATAACACGTTCCTTTGAGAGGATTTCCCTGGTATCGATTTTCTACCTCACATCTAGGAGGAAAAAAATGTAATTATTTTTTCTGTTATTTAATATGGAATCTACATTCATTTTAAATCAAGTAGATCCTTTTACATAGACCACAACCAGTTTTGAGTCCTGATAATTACAGTCTTCACCATTATTTATATCAGGTGGATTAAGAGGAGTGTGCCTGAATTTTCATACAGATTGCCCATCAGTTCCACCACCACTATATAAAAACAATGAATAAACATTTGCCAACGCACAGGAGATAAATCCAAATGTCATAAACCTAGATCCTATTTATTATAATGAAAAGCACATTTTCACATTCCTGTGAACTTCATGTTCTTCTAAAAATGCAACTAAAACATTTTTCAAATATTCATTTCTTTCCTGTACTCCCTCGGTAAACTGACCCTGTTCTTTACACCCAAATGAGAAAAAACTAAATACCAAGGATCACTTAAAAAGTAACTAACACTCTTAAACAAGTACTGGCTAGCCTGGAGAGAATATAATTTCCTCTTAAAATGAATATTAATTTCTCCTTAGATGTCATTTACAAACTCAGCGAAACCCATCTCCCTCTCCACAAAGCCAACTAGCAAGCAAAGTGGCTATGAAGTTCACAGGAAGGAGGGAGAGCTGCGGGAAACACTTTTCCCAGTTCAAATGAGCCAGGGACGCTGCCCTTTCATCCAGGGAGATGACAGGCATTTGTCTCTATCTACAACTTCTAGAAATCACTTGAAAGTCCTCCACTGCATGCCACATCATGTCTTTGCTGTTTCCCCCAATAGAGGGCAACAGTGACTAATTTTGCTCTCACATTTTTCTGTGAAAAGGAACCTAGATCTGAAATTTAAATTTAATCTTTGATTAGACTTTTCTTAACATATTGGCTTTGGGGAAGCATGAAATTGACAACCATGTACATTTATATAAACTATAATATAATCTATGAAGTGTTCATAGACCAATTCCTTGCTGAATAATATCCATGTTACTGGTGACATTCTTTAAGGAAAATGAAGTTTGCCAATGATGATGTATCTGCACATATCAGCTCAAGATTTTCACACTAAACACATCTCTCTTAAGTCTCTTCCTGAGAGAGTGGATAAGCCTGGCTACGTGTTTCATGAGGTTTTCTACTATAGCAGATAGGAATATGTTAATTGGGGGCAATCTCTCTTGTTGCAACTCTCCAGGATACTAAAAACAATTACTGCTACTTCCCCTATTGGGAGATGGGGAAACTGAGTCTTGGCATGGTTCTGTGATCTGTCTCAAAAGATCCTGCTCAATGGAAGCACAGCCAGGTCTGAAACCCAATGCTGTTTGACGTTAAGCCGCATCCTTATGGACAGAGACTTGAAGCCTTCCCCTTGAAGATGATAAACACACTTCATCAAAAGAAGGGCAGAACAGGAGGGATGTGTGCAAGGCAAGAGAATCACCCACTATCAGAGAAACAAAATGCCAAAGAAACACAAAGAAGCACTGGTTCAACACCAGTTCTTCCAACTCCATCCCTCAGAAAAAGTGCAAATTTCTAATGGTAGCTGCTAAGTTAAAGGATTAGCAATCCAGGAAATGTCAGTATCAAACACTTTTTTAAAAATGTGAATTAAAGAGTCTTTTAAGAATTGCTACTGAAAATCCCTAAGCTTGGGGGTTGACTTGTCAGAAGCAGAAAGGGCAAAATTTCAAACTAATCTCTGGAGGGATCACTCAGAATCCATGGCAACAAAGCACAGGGAAGGGGCAGCTCCCCAGGCTAGCTTCCTAGCCCCTGTGCCATCTCTGGTGGTAGAACAGATACTCACAGCTGGCATTCATCTCCCTTGACACCCTTGGTGGTACAGAAGCACTTGCCCGTGTTGGTATTGCACAGTGAGGCATGTCCATTGCACTTACATGCTGGAGAAAAGGAAAAAGCACACAGGATACATCTGGCTTACTATCAGAGACTTTTCCCAAAACAAATAATTTTATCTGAATCAGGATTGTAGGAAGTCACACTAAAAAAAGAATATTTACTAAGTAAGATTCACAATTTTCAAGTAATGATTTAATTCTAATAATGTTCAACATTAAAGGAATTCAAGCAAAAGGACAGTAAGAAAGATAAAGCTGGTTCCGAACCACCACCAGCCGAGGCAATCTCTATTTTGACCTTAAAACTGACACTCTTTCTCAGTATTATGATTCTTTCATTTGTTCAGTGAATATTTATAATGCATTTCCAGCAAGCTGGGTGCTGGGTCCCTTCCCCCATGGAGATGCTCAGGTTGCTGATTGCCTTCTAGGAGGAGGTTGGCCAGACTGTCCTCTGCCTTAGCAGATGAATGTTCTCCAAGTGGGCCACATGTTAAAACCCTCAGGGACTCAGAAGTGAGGGACCCCCGATGGCAAGGGGAGCATTTAAGACCCTTCATCACTCATCAACCTTATCTTGCCTTTTCCTTTGCTTTTACAGAAAACAATCTTCCCATGTCCCTCCTACAGCCATCTCAGCACACCTCTGCCTAACTTTACCCAACAGTTAATTATGAGCTGTGACACATTTTATACTCCACTGAAATAAATGCAAAAGTCTCTGTGCCCAACAACTTTTCCCTTTACACCCTGATTTTCTGTAAATAAAGTAAAGAAATACTTTTTTTTTGGTGGGGGGCGGGTACTGGGGATTAAACCCAGGGGCACTCAACCACTGAGCCATATCCCCAACCCTTTTTTGTATTTTATTTAGAAATAGGGTCTCACTGAGTTGTTTAGGACCTCGTTAAGTTGCTCAGGCTGGCTCTGAACTCACAATCCACCTGCCTCAGCCTCTCAAGCTACTGGAATTATAGGCATGTGCCACCATGCCTGACTAAAGGTGCAGTTTAAAAATAAATACAGCCAAGTTCAAAGCCAGCCTCAGCAACTTAAATGAAACCCTAAGCAACTCAGGGAGACCTTGTCTCTAAATAAAAACATAAAATAGGGCTGGGGATGTGGCTCAGTGGTTGAGTGCCCCCGAGTTCAACCCCATTACCAAATAAATAAATAAATAAATCCCAAGAAGTGGGGGGGAAAGAGAAAATCTGTAAAACAGAACAGTACAGAGTTTACTAGAATACATGGTGGAGCAGAAATTAAGTGTCGACTCTTGCTCTGCTGAGTGTGTAGGGCAGTGTGTTCGTGAAAAGCAGAGGCCTAATGTCTGTTTTCCTGAGTTTGAATCCACTGTCCTCCACCTTAGCCCTTCTGGAATTCTAGGCATGCTACTTAGCCTTTCTGAGTCTTCTTCCTTGTCTATATGATGAGGCTAATAATAGCACCTATCTAAAAGGGTTGCTGTGAGATCTTGGGCAGGCTATGTGACTTCGGGGATGACAAAGGTCCGTTTGTCTCCAAAAACTGTCAGTACAAAGCTTTGTACACATTTACCCCTCAGAAGTGTTATGTTTTGATTACTATTAAATGGATAAAGTGTATGCCACCTGAAACATGACCTCAATACATCATAGCTGCTATCCTTAGCTAAGGACTACACCATTATAAGAGGAAATACACTGAAGACTTGGTATCATTCAGTATTTTAAAAACTATACTTGTATTGTATCTAGAAAATAAAGCAATCTCTAAGTTCTAGAACAGTATACTAAAGCCCTATAGATGTCACAGAGGAAAATTTGATTTTTCTAGATAGCAGTTGCAGATATGGGGATGTTTGCTTGGAGATACAACCAAGTCAGTAGTTAAGGTCAGCACTACTGAATGAGGTTCCAGCTTATGCACATCTGTGAGATCTTGGGCAGGCTATGTAACCTTGGAGATGATAAAGATCCCTTTGTCTTCAAAGGCTGTCAGCACAAAGCTTTGTACACATTTACTCCTCAGAAATGTTATGTTTTGATTACTATCAAATAGATTAAGTGTATTCACCTATAAATGTTTTTACTGAACACTTTTAATCTGCACAAGACACTTTATTTAAGAGTAAAAGGGGGGCTGGGGTGTAGCTCAGTGGTACAGCACATGCCTAACATGCTGAGACACTGGGTTTGATCCTCAACACCACATCACAGCCACATCAATGTTTATAGCAGCACAATTCACAATAGCTAAACTGTGGAGCCAACCTAGATGTCCTTTAGCGGATGAATGGATAAAAAAAAATGTGGCATTTATACATAATTGAATATTACTCAGCACTAAAAAAGAATAAGATCATGGCATTTTCAGGGAAATGGATAGCATTAGAGAAGATTATGCTAAGTGAAGTTAGCCAATCCCAAAAAACTAAATGCCGAATGTTTTCTCTGATATAAGGGGGGTGACTCAAAGTGGGGTAGGGAGGGAGAGCAGGGGAGGAAGATTACCTCTAGATAGGGAATAAGGGTGGGAGGGAAAGGGAGGGAGGGAGAAGGGGAATAGCAAGGATGGTGGAAGGAGACGGCCATCATTATACAAAATACATGTATGAAGATGTGAATTCGGTGTCAACATACCTTAGATACAAATAAATTTATACCAATAAATTGTGGTATAAAGGTATATTAAGAATTGTAATGCAAAAAAAATCAATAAGAGAGCTCATGTATAATGACATAATTTGGCGTGAACATACTTTATATAACTCTGTATATAAAGTTGTGCTGAAAATGGATAATTATTATTATAATTATTATTGCACTATTGTCATGTACAAAAGAAATAAATAAAAAATAAATAAAGATATTGTGTCCATCTACAACTAAAAACATGTGGTTTAGTGGTCAAGTGCCCCTGAGTTTAATCCCTGGTACCAAAAAAAAAAAAAAAAAAAAAAAAGAGTAAAAGGAAATGACATTAGAATGGATATAGTAATTTCTCACATTATTGAGTATTAACTACGTGCCATGTACTGCTCTGATGGCTTTAATCTCAACACCACACTAAATTGCTGTTTTACAGATGAGAAAACTGGGCTGGGGATGTGGCTCAAGCGGTAGCGCGCCCGCCTGGCATGTGTGCGGCCCGGGTTCGATCCTCAGCACCACATACAAAGATGTTGTGTCTGCCAAAAACTAAAAATAAATATTAAAAATTCTCTCTCTCTCTTAAAAAAAAAAAACAGATGAAAAAACTGAACTCCAGGGAGTTGAAGGGACAGACAAAATAGCTAGACTGCCACTCTATCTTGGCTGGCCTGGGATGAGATTCTGAAGTGTCATAAAAAGAAGCCTGGAGGTGGAATATGAGGAGAAAGTAGAGATGTCCTTTCTTATTTATTTTTCCCATTCAGAACCTGAGGATTCTTTCAACTAGAAGACTACTCTAATAGCCAGGTACAATGGTGCACGTCTGTAATTCCATCAACTCAGGAGGCAGAAGCCAAAAAACTGCAATGTTAAGGCCAGTCTGGGCAATTCAGTGAGACTCTGTCTCAAAAACTAAAAATGTCTGGAGTTGTCATTCAAAGATAAGGCACCCCTGGGTTCAACCTCCAAAATCAGATGGCAAGGGGAAGAGGAGAGTCTCGTAATAATTTTCAGTTGGAAACTAGAACAAATCCAAAATCAGTTCATTGATTATACATTTCCCTTTAAAAAACAATTTAGATTCTAACAATAAAATGGTTGTAATATTCCAACCATTTAGATTACCACTTGTATGCTTCATCTACCATGAATGAGGAAACATGGGACTACTGAAATCTTTAAAATACACTAGAAGGGCTGAGTGCAGCTCCTGGTTTAAAACCTGTGTGTGGTTTTTCAGGCCTAACCAGAGGCTTGACATAGTGGCCTCAGGGGACAGCTACCCTCCTCTCAGCAAACTCAGGGCACAGCCAAGTATTTCAGTCTCTGTAGGAGGTGCAGTCAAGGACTTGGGCCTCCAGCCAGTCACTCCTCACGTGCACTTTCATTCCCACAGGTCTTCCTCCAAAGCCTCCAGCACAGGTTGGCTTCAGGGCCTCTGCTGAGGCTTATTTAAAGGGGCTGGGGTTGGGGGTCTGAAAATACTTTCTTCACTCTGACTCAGAGCCCAGGACTTCCCCACTCCCAGTCCTTGCTCCCTCCCTCCCCACAGCCTCAGGGTCTACAATATTGCTGGGAAGGTGCCCTCCATGGGGAGCCGCTGACCACCAGCGCTGAGCCTCCGACTCTCCATTGCTGCACTGTTCCAACAGGGAAGATGGAAATGGGGAAGTCAGCATTTCTCTGGTTTGGGCCCCTTGCTTATCCCATGGCTCAGTGTGGTTAAGGGTTTAACTCTTTCACTGTTGAGCTGCTGCTTCACCAGGCTACTCTCACATCCAACAGTTCACCTTTCTCTTCCAACTCAGCTGAGCTCCTGACAATATGACTTAAAAAGAAATGCAGCATCCAAAGCCAAGTGGCTTTTCTCCTCCTAGGTACTCAAGTCAGAGAAGTCCTGTGTTCCACCTGACTTGCACTCAGCAAGTCTGACCCACACTACTTACGCTGGCATTTGCCTCCATTGGTGGGATCACCATAGAAGCCAGATATGCAGGTCTCGCAGTGCTTGCCCGTGGTCAGGTTCTCACACTTCTCACAGATGCTCTGGTTGATGCACTTGCTGTGGCCATTGCACTGGCAAGCTGAAAGGAAAAGGATTTTAGGAGCCTCTATCATGGCAGAACTGGGTTCAGGGAGTTCCATGAAATTTATCTGCATCTGTAAGTTCCCAATGCCTCTAAAACTCAAATCATCAAACTAGCTGGGCATGGGGGTATTTGCCTATAATACCAGCTATTGGCAAGGCTGAGGCAGAAAGATCTCCTGAGCTCAGGAGCTTGAGGCCAGCCTGCACAACACAGCAAAACTTGTCTCAAAACAAAACAAATAACAAAAACAGAAAAAAATCATCAAAACTTACCCACCAGAAACTAATTTGAGAAATAAGACCAAACTGTCAAAACCAAGTTATTGCAGAAAAATGAGATATTAAGGCCCTCAATCTGTAATTTTCTTATATATTATGTCATTATCTGGTTTTGGTAGCAAGTTACACACTGGCTTTATAGGATGAATTTGGAAGAGTTCTTTCCCTTTTCATTTTATGAATTAGTTTGAGAAGTATTTGTATTAATTCTTCTTTAAAAGTCTGGTAAAATTCAACTGTGAATCATCTTGTCCTTGGCTTTTTTTGTTGTTGTTGTTGGGAGATTATTACTGCTTCAATCTCATTGCTTGTTATGTCTCTATTTATGATATTTACATATTTTGGTGCAATTTTGATAGGTAATACATATCTACAAATTTGTCCATTTCTTCCAGATTTTTCAGTTTATTGGCGTATAGTTTTTTAAATAGTCCCTAATAATCCTCTGAATTTCAGTGGTATGTGTTATAACATCCCCTTTTTTGTCGCTAACTTTTTTTAGTTTGGGTCTTCTCTTTCTTTTGGTTAGTTTGGCTAAGGGTTTCTGAATTTGTTTATTTTTTTCAAAGAACCAACACTTTGTTTCACTGATCTTTTGTGTTATTCTTATATAATTTATTTTATTTCCATTCTGATCCTTATTATTTCTTTCCTTCCATTGAGTTTATATTGTTTGTTCTAATTTCTAAGTCCTTGAGGCGCATCATTAGGATGTTTATTTGAGATCGCTCTGTTTTTCTAATGTGGGACTTTACAACTATAAACTTCTCTCTTATAACTGCTTTTGCATTGTCCCATAGGTTCCATTTTCATTTTACCCTAGGAATTTAAACATTTCCCTTATGATTAATTCAATGTCCCGGTTTCCATTCAAAAGTATATTGGTTCATATCCATTTATTGTGTAATTTTTGCAGTTTCTCTTGCATTTGAATCATAATTTCATTTCATTATGATCTGATAAGATGTCAGCAATTAATTCATTTTTTAAAATTCATTAACATTTGCTTTACAACATAAAATGTGGACTATGTTGGAGAAGTTGTGTGTGCTGATTAAAAACAACATGTATTATGCAACTGTTAAATATTCTCCTTCCAGCATTTTTCTATACAATTTTGTAGTTTTGATATTAATATTCAATTTTGAGTTTTTAAACTTAGATCAAAATTATTTTACATTTAATCTATCATGAACAAAACTTGATGATGATTTTTATGAATTATAGCACTTATTTAACCATCCCCTCAAGTTCTAATATTTTGTTTGCTTTCAAATTAGAAAAATAACCAACTTTACATATAAGCATTTCCAGAGCAGAGATTACTAAGGCTCCTGATTGACATGGCATATAAACCCTGACCTCTCAAAGACTGCTTGAGACAGCTATGCAGGCTGTGCACTGCAGAACATGGAATGTTCACATAAGGTACAACCTGCACCACTGTAACCACAATCTCTGATTCTTTAGATTTTGGTTCATCAACATGAGGTGGTTTTCTCACATCCTGAAAAATTTCTATATCCTTGCACATGTTCTATTTACTCACCTGTTAGCTACACCATCTATGTAGGTACTTGAGGTGTAAAACTTAAAATATTGTACCACAATTACTTAAGATATGTAGGATACGCATTTTGTTCCCATGAAGATGAGCAAAGGGTAAAGTACAACACATGTATAAAATTACCTAAAAATTATGTATGGAAAAAACCTCTATTCTGGTTCAAGAACAAAAGATACAGAAAATGCTTCCTTCTTCCTTTTCAAAATACCACTGAATTACATGGGGGGAAAAAGTGAAAAAGAGTGCTAAATCAGCGGAAGTGTGAAATAGAAGAGAAAGGTACTATTAGAAGTACTGAGAGACACTGCTGAAGTATTCAGGAATGTCTAGAAATTATAAAGCAGAATGGGCCAATCAGAAAGAAAAGAACTGAGACACCTGTATCTTAAGGTAAGAAAAGGAAGGTACTGCCAATCTGACTAGATGAACTTTACTAGTGGACACCTGAAAAACTCAGTGGAGGCTGGAAGCAAAGGAGGCCTCAGCAGACTGGTAGGCAACAGAAATGGCACATGACCTGCTCTGTATCAGTTCCTCAGCTGGCTGAGGTGTGGGTTCAGGGGCAATAGTGGGAAAGAATAGTTCTGGGTGGAACAGGGGTGAGAAAGAAGGAGAGTGTAGGGTCAGAAAAATATCAGGGCAATATATCAGCTATCTTTAGGTTGCCAGAACACCAAATGGTAGAGGCACGGGCACAACCATGATTGTGCCAAATGTATCCAGGCACCTGGGTCCACTGCTTCTGACCTGGGTCCACTGCTTCTGAGAGAGGAGCACAAACCATTCAACAGCTGTAAGAGCAGACCAGAGCTAAAAAGTCCCGAGGTTGGGCTGGGGTTGTAGCTCAGTGTAGAGCGCTTGCCTCACAAGCATGCACTGGGTTCAATCCTCAGCACCACATAAAGATAAATAAATAAAAATAAATATATTGTATTCATCTACAACTGGAAAAAAAAAAAAAAGTCCTGAGGTTGGGGATACGGATGTAGCTCAGTGGTAGAGTGCTTGCCTAGCATGCATGAGGCACTGAATCCTCAGCACAACATAAAAACAAATAAATAAAATAAAAGTCCTGTGTCCATCTTAAAAAAAAAAAAAAAAAAAAAAATGTCCTGAGGGTAGCTGGCTGCTCCCTTAGGAACTCATCCCACACCTTCACAACAGTTCAATAAACACCACTGCTAACCAATACTGATAAATTTACATGGTCAATTACAAATGCAAATCAATCTTAAGGATTCAAAATTTTAAGAAAATGCTCTAACCACATGCAACTGCAGGATAAATACTCAAAAAAAATAATAATAAAATAACCCTGAAAGAGGGCTTAATGGAAGAAACAAAAGAGAATAAAAAATACTAATTTTAGTATATTTAAAGAGGCTTAAATAATTGAATCCACAAAAGAAATCAAGCTCTAAAAATACCCTCACAAAATTTAGAGCACTTATAAAAAGAAAAAAGATATGTGAAATAAAATTAGACATGTGAAAACAATCCTCAATAGATTATAAGGAGGATACACAAGGCTAACAAGTTGAGTGTAAGAAAATATTATGACCCATATTTCAACAAATTTGAAAACAGATGAAACTAACAAATTCTTTAAAAATCACAGGTATTAAAACTGACTCAAGAAGAAACAGAAATTCTGAATAGACTTATAACAAGTAAAGAGATCAAATAATTTAAAATCTTAGCACAAAGAAAGGCCCAAGATTGGATGATTTCACTGGTGAATTCTATCAAAATTTAAAGAATTCTTGGCAATTAATTAACTCTTCCAGTAAAAAGAGTTGTTTTTTTAAAAATGTCCATGATGTGTTTTTATGTAAAAAGAAAATTATAAAGCAGTAAATATAATATCCCTAGTATAGTACATAAAAATATAAAAAGTATATTTTATATTAAAATATATAAATGAATATGTCTGGAAGTATCTATATTAAATTCTGAAAAAGTATTTATAAAGACCTGAGTGGGGGCTGGGGTTGTGGCTCATTCATAGAGTGCTCACCTAGTATGTGTGAGGTACTGGGTTTGATCCTCAGCCACACATAAAAAAATAAATAATACAAATAAAGGTATTGTGACCATCTACAACTAAAAAAAAAAAAAAAATTTAAAAAAAACTGAGGAGAGGGGGACTCCAGGTTTTATTTTGTATACAGGTATAATATTTTTATAAAGCACATATTATTTTATAAGAAAAGTTAGTAAGATAACTTACATGAATTTCCTCAATATTTTTGTTAACTGACATTAAAACTATTTTTAAATGAAACTATCTTTTCTCCTAAAATGGTGTGTTAACTTATATTTTTCACTTAAAAGAAATTCATATGAATGGTGTAGCTTTCAAGTTTGTATTCTTTATAAACAGGTAATGAATAACTTGAATTTGGATATGCAGGCATCTTACCTGGACAGTGAATGAAAGACCAGTTGTATCTGCTGTCCTCTAGACACATGCTGGAATTCAGAAGGGGCTGTGGATAGGCAGTTCCAGCAGAGGCCTGTGGAGGCATCTTCACTGGTCCTTTGTAGGATCCCTCCATGCATTTCCCTTTCCCAGTGTTGCTGGGATCAGTACACCAGCCACAGCCTGGCTGCTCCAAGCAATGACTGCAGGTGCAATAGCCTGAACAATTTTCAGCTGTTTAAAAACATACACACACACACACACACACACCAAAAAAAAAAAAAAAAAAACCTCAATCCACAGATATATCTGAATTCATTACATTTAAATAAACTTTTCTTTAACAGACTAACTTTAGAGAGTCCAAATCACTACTCTATAGTGACCATTTAAAGGAGACAACAAATTTAAAGAGCTCAATAATTTGCCCAACACATAACAGGTATCACTCCTTCCACTCTCAATCCCAAGATGCTGGAGGCAAAAGGAACTTCAGAAGGTCTTTACTGGAGAGCAATTACTTAATGAATTAGGTGAGTAAACGGTAGAAACATTACATGGATTGAATAATATGACCTTGGAGTTGGAAGGCTAATTTCTGTATTCTGTGTGCCAGCTTAGATTTACTTGACTACATGTATCACTGTGCAATTCTGTATGCAGGTTCTCATCATGCAGGACTAGAAGACTTGAGTAGAAGGTCAAATCCAACTAGTCTGAAAAATGTTCCATGCCATGCCAAGTATTGTTACCATGCCAAGAATTGTCACTACATGCCAGGCACTCAAGAGTGCCAGAACTCCCTTTTGCACTCACGGGGACAGCTGCTCATGGTATACCACTCCATACACTGGCCGAAAGGGAAGGAGGCCACGTAGGCGTTGGAGTCCACACACTGCTTCATGTTGCTGCACCACATGCACTCAGAGCTGCTGCTGGTGCACTCCCCACACGCAGTCCGCAAGGCACACGGCGTCCGGCATTGCTTGGCACTGTGGTTTGCTGGGAATTAAACCCAAGAGGGACATTTAAGACCTCCCATTATGTCAGCTAAGGTCAGAGCCATTTCAAATATTGGTTTGTAGCCCAACAGTGTGCCATGAACTCAATTCAGGCACTACATGACACAGTGAAAACAGATCATATTGGAGCCATCATGTACTACTTAGTCAAGGTATTAACACACTCGGGGAGGAAATGGACCTTCTATTCAGAGAGCATTGAGGACAAAGGTGAAAGAACAAGAGATCTTTCAACAAAAGCAGAGTCTTACATAAGGGGACCCTGAAGGAATTTTACAATCCACCTGAACATGTAAAACCCTATGTTTATGAATTTGAGTGTAAGTAGGATCACAGCATTCATTAAATTCATCAAAGCATTCTGCATTCAAAAAGGCTGAAAAGCTCACCTACAATTTAGAAACCTTGTTTTAAGATAACTTCTACAATGCTATGAATTATCTTCTATACTTCTGCATTCCTCAAATACAGTACCTTCCAAAAACTGAACAGGATTTTAACTAAATCACCAACAACTCTACCTATTACTGTTAAGCCCCCATCTGTGTGCTACAGAGGCTGCCCCTGTATCTGCCACCATGGAGCCTAAACTTAGCCCCCAGAAACATGCAAACTGAGAAACTGCTCAAAACATTTGATGGTTCAGTACTCAGCCACAGCTCTTACATGGTTCTAACTGGCTTCTGTCTCCTGTCACAGACCTCTCCTCATTTTCCTCCTCACTGACACTAGCTTCCTGAATACTGTCTTATGGTGACTTGCTTGCTTTTCTCATCTTTGGTTTTTATTTTCCTTCCACAGCATTTTTCTGCCACCAAGATATTTGCCCTTCAGAGAAATTCTAAACATTCTTTGTGCTCAACAAACCAATCAATCACAATGCTAGTCAGAATATTAGGTTCTTTGTGTAACATTTTATTTTTGGCTTTGCTTATGGCTCAACGTAGAGCCACAGACTATTTCCTTCTGCTTTTAAAATTCTAGGTATTGCTTGAAATATGCCTGAAATTAGCTCTCCATCTGTTTTCAAGATCATTTTATGCATGTCAATACTTAACCTGCCTCCTTTCTGAAACTTCCTGGAGCCTATCACCAGTGTCCTTACCAGGCCGTTCACAGATGCTGCCATTGAGGGGGTTGATGCAGGTTGCAGCCTTTAATCCCCGAACAGTGGGTTCTGATAAGATTCCGCAGAACCCAGCATCGCTAGGCTCAGATGGCATCCACTGTAGTAAACTATTTGTAAATGGAGACATATCTTCCCAACACCAGTAGGAGACATTGATCTTCCGAAGGCCAACCCATGGGGTTAAGGTGAGCTTGGACTGTGGGCAAAAGAGACATAATTATGAAAACAATCAATGTTTTGACCAAACAAGCTACTTGATAAAACCCACTAAGTTAGGTATATTCACAGGTACAGGAAAGCCTTCCTATACTCTAAACTAGGCCATTGGGATAGATCACCACTTCAATATGGCCATTTTACAAAGGACAAATTTATAGCTTAGAGAAAAGAAATATCAAAATTTTCACAGAGATCCATAACAAAGTAATAACTGAGTACCAAAATTTTTATACTCTGCATCAAATCCTACGAAGAGATGGTTATCCTAAACTGGCTTAAGTGCCATTCACACATGAAGTCATTTCACCAACATTCATAAAATATTGATAATGTATCCATCCTTAGAAAAGGAGCTAAGCCTGTATGATGCTTTTATTTTATTTTTTAAATTTTGGGGGTCTGGGGTTGTGGGTCAATAACAGAACACTTGCCTAGCATGTGTGAGGCACTGGGTTCAATCCTCAGCACCACATATAAATAAATAAAGAATAAAGGTACATCAACAACTAAAAAATATTTTTTAAAAAAATTTTAATTTGTTCTAATTAGTTTATATGACAGCAGAATGCATTTTGACACATTGTACACAAATGGAGCACAACTTCTCATTCCTCTGGGTGTACATGGTGCAGTCACATCAGTAGTATAATTATACACATATGTAATAATGTCTGTCTCATTCTACAGTCCTTCCCATCACCACCACCCCACCCACTCCCACTCCCCTCTGAACAATCCAAAGTTTGTGTGATGCTTTTATAATTGTATACATTGTGAGATGGTTGACACTATCAACTAATTGACATCCATTACCTCTCATATTTACCTTTGTATGACTGTATGTACATGTATGTGATGAGAACATGTAAAAACTATGTCCTTAAGAAATATTTAGTATACATACACCATTATTAACTACTATCACCATAGCATACATTAGATCTCTAAAACATCTTATTTAACTAAACTTTGAACAATTTGATCAGCATGTTCCCATTTCTCACCGCACCTCCCAAGGCCCTGAAAACCACCAGTGTACTCTCTGCTTCCCTGAGTTAGACATTTATAAATTCTACACATAAGCAAAGTCATGTATTTGTCTTTTTGTGACCAGCTTATTTCATTCAGTATAAGGTCCTCCAGGTCTATCCATGTGGTTGCAAATGACAGTATTTCCTTCTTTTTTAAGGCTGAATCATAATACTCTGTGGAGGAGGGGTGTGGATGTGGGTATTTACTGTATTTTTTATTCTATTTCTCCACTTAGCAATGGATTTTATAAAGAATAAGAGCAATGAACACCTTGGATGGTTTTCATCTCCTACTCCCTAAAATTTCCTTGCCATTTCACTTTTAAAAAAAAAATGTTTTTAATCAATTTATAATGTCTAACCCAGAAATGAAAGGTAGTCTTAATTTTGACAGTTGAAAAAAACATGTACAATGTATTTTCATTTTTGAGAAGGAAAAATATTCATGCTTATTAAAAGACCTGAAATAAATAAATTCTAAGAGTTTTTAGTGGTATTAACAAATGATATTTGTTTTCTTACATTCTTTTATTAGAATTTTCTAATTTTCCTTTAAAAACAAACAAAATTATAACTAATATATTTTACAAGTCTTTTAATAATGTCTTTTTGCTTTCCTGATAAAATGCAGAGCCATTAGCATTGTAGACAAGGTATCTCTGATTTGGCTGTGGGCCCTTCTTGAAGCCCAGCTATAGCATCTTCCTCCCATCCAACCTGCCCCAGCCAAACAAACTAACCCGCAGCTCGCTCAGTGAGCCATTCCCTCAACCTCTACACCTTGTATGAGAGGGTACCAACATACAGGGAGCCCGTCCTTCTTCCCTTTCCACTTCACTCCTTCCCACCTTCAGGATTATCTCCTCCCAGCTCTACCAGACAGCCTCTACCCTATCTTGCTTTTTCATACATGGGCTCTACAGACTGGGCCACATCTGGAGATAAACCTATGGGGAACACATTACACTTTAGTTGTCTCATCTGTTTGTCTTATCTCAAGAGTGTGGGGTTCTGTTTAATTAAAGCTATCGTAGCAGACTAGACCACCCAGAACCTGGTAGGGCTGTAACACCTGAAGAAGAGAAGAAAGGGAACTGAGGTACATCTGTGCCCAGCTGGGATGACAGGAACTTTCTACACCAATTGTCTCACACAGAGGTGGACTTAATAGTCACCAGTAGAGAACCAGCACTATGGGCAAAGTTGTGAGCCTCCCGTTTCTTGAGGGAGTGAATGACCATAGATAGGTAAGGCTGGCTGACAGCCAAGGACAGAATGCTAGGAGAGGCCAACATCTGGGGAAGAGAAGAACAGAACCAACACAGACAATCTCTGATGGAGATTATAAAAATAGAAAAAGCTATCATAACATACCAATATGTTACAAATATCATAACATACCAAATGTGGTCCCTGAGGTAGGCATATTAAGCATGCGCTGCCAATATCTGAGAGTCCACACCATAACAAAGTTTCACTGGGAAAAAAGTCCTGAGAGAGAGTAAAACACAGGGCACCTCTTCCCTCCCTATCTCAGAATGCCCTTTTATGTGATACACAGAGCCAGGACCCAGGCCACATTCCATACTTTATTCACATTAGATAAAGCCAGTTTCACCCAGTGAAGTGGTACCCTGAGTTCCTCACTGCTTAACAAGAGAATATCACCCCCACACTTCTCCCTACCACAGTCTACCTAGCTGAGAGAGCTTTGTTCTCTGAATATCTGCTTAAGTGAAGGTATAATCACAGAGCCTGCACTTTGGACTAAAAATGGCAAAATGTGATTGTGGAACAACAACTAAAAGTCATCCAATCATCCAATAGCTTGGATGGACAGGAATAGAACGTGAGCCTTGCTGATCTCAGAAACCCTTCAAAAGAAGATGCCCTCTCTTGTTGGGCTGCCAGGTCTAGAGAGACCCAAACAGATGTATATTTCTTGGTGGTAGTGACAACATGTTCTGAATAATACCTTAAATCTAAAGGAAATAATGTCTAAATATGATGCCTAATTAGCTGTGACCCCTCGCTCCCTACCACAGGGATCATCCAGTGATGTCACCAGAGTATGTGCACAAACACACACATTACTATACATCTCATATATTATTTTTCATGTTATAATAAATATGACTAAGAAAATGTATGAAGTATTAAAAAGGTTTCAAAGTTAAAGGCATTTAAGGACAAGACTTCAGTTGGGGTTATAGCTCACTTGGTAGAGCGTTTGCCTAGCATGTGTGAGGCACAGGTTTGATCCTCAGCACCATATAAAAATACATAAATACTGGGGCTGGGGATGTGGCTCAAGTGGTAGCACGCTCGCCTGGCATGCGTGCGGCCTGGGTTCGATCCTCAGCACCACATACAAACAAAGATGTTGTGTCCACCGAGAACTAAAAAAAAATAAATAAATATTAAAATTTTTTTTAAAAATACATAAATAAATAAAATAAAGGTATTATGTCTGTCTACAACTAAAAAAAATATTAAAAGAAAAAAAAAAGGAAGAGACTGACAGTGTAGCGCCATATCTACTACGCCACGCATCCTGGCATTCCTCCTCTTCCCAGCACATCTGTCACCCACAGCCTTCCATGCACCAGCTGTGGTCATGCCCTCAGCAGAAAGGTGGGTAAGAGACACTTAGGTTCTGAGGATTCACTCACCATGCTTTGTGATGGCTGCATTATTTGCAGCTGCTTAAGGACAAATTCCACTTTCTTCTGGGTTGTAAGGGAAGCCAAGAAGGCATTGTGGTTCCTACAGTACAGTTTAGCATTGTCATAATTCTCCTTGGCAGTAGTAATTTTCAAACACGAGTTTCCAACCAAATGCCAGCCAACGCCACAGATATTTTCTTTAACAAAGGGGGAGAGAAAAAACAGCTTTAGAAATTACACAAAACTACTGTATTCCTAGTTCAAGTTCCTGAACACCTAAATGATCCTTGAGATTGAATTCTAGGTGCTTCATTAAGAATATGGCAAGGGCAAGAGACACATTATTCACTTCCAGACACAGAATGCAAGAGATAAGTTTGTCAGTCCTATCTACTGGGTCTCATGAAGTATATTCTGAAGTCAACTCTCCAGTCACTTGGAGGAAAATCCATTTAGTGTAAATGCTAGATTGATGGCAGAGCTTTTAGAAGAATAATTAGAAATAAGACTAACTCCTATGTGGAGAGCAGACAGATGAATATGCACATTAGAAAGGTGGAGTACAGAACTGCAAACATGGAAATGAGTTGGGAATGAATAAATCTAAAGTCTTCAAATGCTGCACTTTTCCTTATTTTCAGGTACAAGTTATACCCAAGCACACAAATCATACCAAAAAATGAGAAGGGTAAGATCTTAGGAAAAGTCCAAAGTCCACACAAGGCAAGTTTTGTAATTAGTTCCTTGTGATCAGGCTGAACCCACATTAAGATTCTGCATGGAAGCTGGGGACACTCCCAGTTCAACAGTGAATGAAACAGCAACACCATCAGAACCAAAGTACCCTGGAGAACAATATTCATTAGCAGAAACAGCCACTGAGATCATTGGGAGGTACCACAGGAAAGAGATCATTTGAGAGCACACAGACTGGCTCCTTGAAGCATGGAATGGACAAGTTAAAATGAAGACTCTAGGACCCCACCCCAGGCCTGTACAAGAACATGCCTTTTGGCAAGATCCCAGGGATTTTGCTATTCATGAATGTCTGAGACTCAGAACAATGAACAAGAAGCCCATTCTGAAAGATGAACTGCATTACGCCAAAGAACATTCAAAAGGGCCCTGGTTCAGCTCAAGTGGCCTGCTCATGCCTCAGATGTTGCATAGTGCCACAGAACTCCCCCTTCCTGGACATCCGGTTGGAGCAAATATATCAGGGGTTCAGTATGGCTGGCCACCCCAAAGTCATCACCGTAAACCTCAGGATTCCATAAACAGGTACTCAGGACTGGCGGTCACCTCAGAGTTGCTGCTAACACAGAAATCTGCCTCTCCCTCTGCTCAGAGAAGCCTCTCAAGAGGTGCCAACAACCAAATCCCCATGTTCAGTAACACTCTTCCATACAGTGCCCAGAAAATCGGCAGCTGAGACTACAGACTTCTAGTCTCAGTTATCACAGCCAGGTGGGTGTCAAGGGAAGGAGCAGGTTCACTGACATGAACCCAGAATCATTTCATTCTCCAGAGGAACAGATAATGTTTGACTTATTTCAAAGAATAGAAGAGTACATACTTACAAATTGGATTTTAATTAAATAAACAACAAATAAATGTGACAGATACATAGAATAAGGTCCTCCCCCCAATTAAGTTCAACCCAGGTTGCAAAAGATTAAGGGTTCTGGATCCATACTCCAGGTGCCTAGCAAGGCTTACCAGGCAGAGCAATACACTCCTGATTCCGAGGCTCCCACTGGCAGTTCTGGTCCAGGGCACAACTCCTACAGCTGGTCTTCTTGTTACAGTAGTACATGGGGTTATCCTTGGGACAATTCTCATACCTTGAAATGGAGATCTAGAACACAGTGGACAAAAGCTTTTGTTTTATATCCATAGAGATAATTCATGCTGAAGACCAACAGGACACTAAACACAATAATATCTAACCAAGAAAGCAAATAAATAGAGATAAATAAGATGCTAATGAAGTTGCAGTGCATCAGAAACACTGCAGTAAAATGTTCTGTTCATAGACATGCCTTTACCTGGCAAGAAAGCAGTCTACTCTTTTAAACAGCATGCCTCAACCTTCTCAGCAGTAAAATGGAAATATGGAACAGTCTATTTTGTAAACTGACAAAAATAATCTATTTTATAAACTGACAAAAAAAGGTCTTTTACATAAACTTTAAAAGCTTGGTCATCTTAATCTTATTTAATAAGTCTTTATTATAATCCAAATATTCAAAATCATATGTGATTTTGAAGCCCTAGAAAGAGACACTCTGAAGAAATACTTTTTCAGTTAAAAAAAAAAAAAAAAAAAAAGGGAAATGAAGAACACTGAATTTATGCTGATCCAAGATATAACAAAAGACAAGGAGATTGTGGCAAAGTCTATCATTTGCTCGGTCTACTAGAGAACACTACACACCTGCTTCAAATCCCAACTTTCTCCAACAATCTCACATGGGTGGAGTGAGCTTGCTGTTACAAGCCTCAGACCAAAGATCTAGTACTTAGCCACAACCATGCCCAGGGAAAATTGTCCTCAGGCACTAGTACTACCTCACCACAAACAAGGCCCGTGGCAACTGAGAATGGAACCAAATGTATACAGCATCCCTTCCAAAAAGAAAACCTGAACTATAATAAAATCCAAGTCTACATCCCATTTAAAAAAAATTTGGACCACTATTTATGGCCATACACTCAACTACACCTAAACCCAATTACGATATTTTTATCCCCTGAAATCCTTAACAATTGGACCCTGACCTGGCCTTCTGTGCAGCTGTGGTTCATAGGGACACAATGGTCATTGCACCAGTGGCAGTCATTGGTGTTAGCCGTGCAGCTGTAACAATCCGTGTGCTGGTCACATCTGTCATGGTCAAGGGCTAAGAAGAGAAGAAACACTCGTCAACTGTGACAGCTTCTATTAAGCACAATCTGAGATGGGTTGAAAAAAGAAAATCCTAACAATGGCTGGGAAGTAAATTGAACAGTAAAACTGAAAGTAAAATATATTGGGATGTTCAGGTTAAAAAAGCCCTAGAAAGAGACACTCTGAGAAGAAACAGTATTTTCATTTAAAGAAAAAAAAAAAAAAGGAAATGAAGAGCAAAGATAAGTTAATTTAACAAGTCTAACATATAATAGAACTGAGTCTTTGAATATTTTTTCCCCCAAGAAAAAACCAACTAGCAATAGAATAAACACCAGAAACTGCCCAGGAGCCAAAGAAAGTTACAAAGGAGACCAATCCATCCCTCCCAGTTACAAACACCAAAGCTCATTTTGAGCACAGGCAGCAGGCAGTGCCTGGACTCCAAGGGAAGTGTGAACTGAGTCATGCTGCACTGATTTCCACAATGCAAGCTGCAGAACGCTGGGGTGACTGCAGACCTGGTGCACTTCCTGTTGACCCCAGAAAAGAGAAGCTGCACCACCATGCTGCCTCATCTGCTGAACCACCTCTTAGACACCGCACATGGTGAAACCCAGAAAGTGTAAATGGAGGGGCATTGGGGTGGTGGCTCAGTGGTAGAGAACTTGCCTAGCATGTGTGAGGCACTGGGTTTGATCCTCAGCACCACATAAAAATTATAAATAAGTAAATAAATAAAGGTGTTGTGTCCATCTACAACTAAAAAAATACTTAAAAAAAAAAAAAAAGAGTAAATGGGAGGGTCCATGGCCCACCCTCTTAAAGGCCCCAGCAGTATACCCCTTAGGTTGCTCTTCCTTCTCTTGTCATCATCAAAGGATTATGACCACCTCTGCACAGAGTGGAGTGAAACAGGGAGTTGATACTGCACATGAGATGACAGGAAATGGGCTCATACTGAATCATCTAAGATAATTCAACATTATTTTCCATGTACACTTGCACATTTAATTTGAACTTTAAAAAATTTGATTAAAAATAACTGTTTCACTGATTTTTTTTATTAATTTTTTAGACTTTTTTTTTTTTTATTGGTTGTTCAAAACATTACAAAGCTCATTTTATCCTTTTCAGGAGTCAATGACTAATCCCACAGTGTTCTGGTAATTCTGTTCTCCATCAATGAACTTGGTTGCCTGGGTGTTCTTACTAAGCAAGATTAATTTGGAGCATCCCAGAGAATAAAAGCTGCCTCTCTCTCCACCATAATGGCCACAGTAACTGCATCCTGCTAGCCATGGAATTCAGTCAACTACTTAACTTATGTGAACAAATACTTTGCAGAGGCATTCTTCTTACTTAGAAAGGACTTTCTCACACATTTCTTCACACCATGTTGTTCTGTGCTTTTTTTTTTTTTTTTTTTTTGGTACTGAGGACTGAACACTCAGGGGAGCTTAACCACTGAACCACATACCCAGCCTTTTTTAAAAATTTATTTTATTTAGAGACAGAGTTACTAAGTGCCTTCTAAGTTGCTGAGGCTGACTTTGAACTCACGATCCTCTTGCCTCAGCCTCCCAAGCCACTGGGATTACAGGTGCACTCTGCACTCAGCTGTTCTGTGCTATGTCAGAGCAAAAGGACAAGAAGCTAAATAGGAAGGGTAAAGAAAATAGCTTAGAAAACATGAGGGGAACTTCTAGAAGTGGGGATCACTGTTCATCCTCAGCAACTCTCTGTCTTGTTCTCACTGCTGTATCCAACTAGAAGAGCTAGAAGACAGTTGTGAGGATGGCAACTCCTCTATGTACAATAGGCTTTTCTAGGTTGGCCTTCCTAATCTCATCCTTAATGTCAGACCTCCACAATCCAATATGGTAACCAGGATGTTAAAAATTCAGTTCCTAAAGGCACACGAACTACCTTTCCAGTGTCTGATATTCCCATGTGGCTAAGTAGCTACCAGACTAGAACAGGGCACATATGCAATATTTCCAGTATCAAAACAAGTTCCATTGGATAGCACTGCCTTGGACCAACTGTAGCCAGGTGGACAAAGCGTATGGCATGCCAAGAAGATTTTGTCCCTATCATTCACAGACAGCTTCAAGGAGCCACACAACCTGTTCTCATCTGTTGTAAAGATATTTACAAACTAATTCTCAAACTCCGAGAAGGGCTTTGCACAAGTTATTACTAAACTAGTATGGATAATAAGGTGATTATAAGAAGTATACATATACTGTTTCTTAATAACTGATCAAATGAGATTTCTAATTAAATTCTAAGAAGAGAATAACATACTTCTTTTGGAAAAACATTCTGATTTTAACTTTTCTGCTTGTTCTTCAGTTGCCAACTCCCAGGAGATGCACTGAGACGACCCTGTGTCCCACACACAGCGGACACCAGGTCCTGCTGCCACACAAGCAGCTTCACTCTGATGTGCTTCACACTGTTCCGAGGTGAATACCAGGATGTCACTGAGGAGGAGACTGTTGAAACCACCAAACACATACATGGTGCTAGAGAAAAAAGGAAGATAATGAATTTGCTGAAAAATTATTTATAAATACATGATATACTTTGTAGACAACATTCAGACAAATCTTATATAACAAAATCCTCTAAGAAATTACTTCAAGGTCTCTAAAATTATAATTCCCTTCCCTCCCAAATTCCACCCTTTAATCCTGACCTTTGATCATCAAGAATAGTTCCAAAAATCACCCATGAAATTTGTACATGCAAAAGTGACATCTTGGGCTGGGGTTGTGGCTCAGTGGTAGAGCACTTGCCTCTCAGGCATGAGGCCCTGGGTTCGATCCTCAGCACCACATAAATAAATAAAAATAAAGATATTGTATCCATCTACAACTAAAAATTTTTTTAAATATTTAAATTAATATTAAATTAGTGGGTAATTAAATTAATCTTAAATTAGTGGGTCTTTTCAGTAAATGGTATCAAGATAACTAAACATATGAAAAAAAAGGTTAAACTAAATCCCTTTCTCACTCTATGTACTAGAATAAATTCCAAATGGATCAGAGAATCATCCAAAAGAAGAAATCATATAAGTTCTAGAAGAAAGAATAGGCAATCTTTTCCATAACCTAAAAGTAGGAAAAACCTCCATATGACTTAAAAATGCAGAAGGCAGAAAAACAATTTTATATAGACAGGACTTAAACCATGCATATGTCTTTAAGCATATGAAAAGATGATCAACTTTAGTCAAAAGAGAAAAACAAATTAATGCTCATAAGCTGGGTGTGATGTCACACACCTGTGATCTCAGCAGATCCAGAGGAGGCTGAGGCATAATGGTCATAAGTTCAAGGCCAGCCTGAGTAACTTATCGAGGCCCTAAGAAACTTAGTGAGAGCCTATCTCAAAATCAAAAGAAAAGGGCCGGGGGTGGGGAGGTTAGTGATGTCACTTAGTGGTCAAGCATCTCTTGGTTCAATCGATGCTACAAAAAAAAAATAAAATAAACCCCACACTTACGTAACAAAACTTGAGCAAAACATGGAAAGATGAAGCTATGGGGCAACAGGCACACTCACACACTGCTGGGCTTATAAAATAGCACAAGCCCACAGACAGGTAATTTAGCAATTTCTAATAAAACTACACATCAACCTTCTGAATCTGAAATCACATTCTAGAAGTCTATCACAAAGATTCAATAGCAAAAATACATGTGAGGTAATTAACTACATCATTAAAAAATAGGAAAAATATTCCGACACTCCAAAATCTATTGGGAATGTATTAAACTCTGATGCAACAACATGATGAAATACTACACAGATGTAAAAAGAAATGAGGAAGATTTCTGTATACTGCTACGGCATTATCTCCAACTGTTATGCGGGGAGGAAGCCATGCAGAAAAAAGTATGTACCCCATTTGAATCAAATGTATGATATGTCAAGACCATTGTAATGTTTTGAGCAACTAATAAAAAAGTTTTTTTAAAAAAAGTATGTAAAGTGTGTAGCAGTTTATCTATTGAGAGAAGGAAGAGCTCACACACAGAAACACAGTGTTTCTTTAACTGGTCTTCTTAAATGACCAACACAATAGTAATGATTAGGACTATGACTTAGACTGTGGTAATTAAAAACATTCATTCCCCTGCCGGTCCATATCAGAACTTTTTAGAGAAAAACCCAGTGTGTGTCTGGGTCAGTAAATGTTCACAATGAATGTGGACAGTATTTTCAGTATGAGAAAGACTATGTAGTGTCAGAAAGATTCAAGAGCTACCATGAAGGGATGCTCCCTGGCTACAGATAGAAAATGTTTGAAATTTAATAAGAATAAGAACTATAAAGGACTTGGTACAACACACCAAATATTTTTAAATCCTTAAATTCAATAACACATGCCCATGAACCCAACTGTCATCTTTGGACAATGCTGAGAAATCAGTCTATTATTTTGAAATTTTCAAATAAAGGAAAATAATCAATCTTATGAAGTAATCTTGTTGTAATCCTAAAGTGAATCTGACTGCATTAATTTGCAGGAAGGTCAGAAGAGATACCAACATGTATTTGAAAGCATGGGGATACAACCATCAAAATCTGGACTATAAGAAACTCTACAGGATATACAACACAGTGTCTAGCAAATAAATGGAAACATGACAGGCAAGGAGCCTGTAATTAAGAAAAAGAACATATTTTAATGGTTTTAATTTAGTGATTTAAGTTGGATCCTCATTTCAACAAGCTAAATTTTAAAAGAATTATAAGACAATTCAGAAACTTGAATATGAAATGAACACTGATTATGTTAAAGAACTATTAATTTTTAAGTGTTATAATTTTTAAGTATACTAGTTGTAGGGTTTTTTTGTTTGTTTGTTTTGGGGGGGGGTTTATTTGTTTGTTGGTTTGTTTTGTTTTGGTTAGGGTTTTTTTCCTTCTTTTTTTCTGGGGAGAGGGTTTTTTTACTAGGAAGGCGTACTGGAGAGTAAAACCCAGATGCCAAGTCTTTTCTATTACTTATTTTGAAACAGGGTCTAAGTTGCTTAGGGCCTTGCTAAAGCCACTGAGGTTAAACACAAACTTGCAATCCTCCTGTCTCAACCTCCACAGACCCTGGGATTACATGCATGCACCTCCAATCTCAGCAGTACTTATATGTTTTAAGAGTCTTTCATGAAAAATAGTCAATTCTCATTATTTGCAGATTCTGTATTTGTGAATTTACCTATGTGCTAAAATTTATTCCTAACTCCAAAATCAATACTTTGCAGCAGTTTATGGTCACTTGCAGGCATGTGCATGCAGAATGGTGAAACATTTGAATGGTGAAACATACATATTCCCAGCTCAGCTCAAACAAAGGAGTGCTCTGACTTCTTGTCTCAGCTCTCATACTGTAACAAGTGTCCCTTTCATGGTTTTAGAGCCCCCTTCTTGAGTTTTTGTGCTTTACTTTATGCTAGTGATTTCATTGTTTACAACCCCTAGTGCAGTGCTCAAGTGCTGTCTCCTGTTTTAAGCCGTGATGTGCCTTTGTGGAGGAAATATGTGTGTTAGATAAATTTTGTTTAGACGTGAGTCGAAGTGCTATTGACCACAAGCTCAATGGTAAGAAATAGGCAATATATTGTGTTTAAAGAGAAACACACACTGAACAGGGTTAACATATTGACTAGTTTAGGAAAATGTGCTAAGGCGGCTTGCAGAAACCTAATGTCCCGTACGAGCAGAGAGTCAATATTCACTAATTCATTGTGTGCAGAACATAACCACTGTGAATAATGAAAACCAACTGTAATCTAAAATATTTACTTGTGAAATCCTATTGTGCTAGAAAATTGCTTCCAAGTAAGATGGACAGGTTCAGGATAGCCACAGATTGATGACTGCTAATGTAGAGTAAGGGGCACATGGGGCTTAATTATGCTATTATCTCTACTTCTTTATATCTTTCAAATTTTCACAATAAAAAGTTTTAACATCCTTTTAGGAAAAAAGAATTTTGCTTAAATCTCTTCCATTTCAAGGATAACATTACATTTCTAATACTAATATTACAAATGGGCCCGTTCTTTTCTGCATATGATCTCTTCAGTTTAATTTTGTTTTTAGCCTAAAAACTTAATATGATTATTTATATTATCTGTCTCTAAAAAGAACAAGGCCCAAATCATGCTATCCATTTACTTATTCACTCAGAAATAACCATTTAGCATCTATTACAAACAAAAATACCTCTGGCCCCTGATCCTTCAGTCTGGAAATCAGCCCAAAATTCAGCTCCAGCTCTCTGCTGCCCCAGCTGGATGGGCAAAATCTCAGGCTGAAGCCCTCCTTGAATTTGATTCATCTCTTAGTTTCTGTCCAATGTTTCCTCATTATCTTTCCAGTTCTTGCTTTACACATTTCAGTGGGAGAAGCTCCAGAAGTGAAAGTCCTCCTGAAGTCAAGGGTCAAGGGCTTTTTTATTTTTTCAAGATAGGGTTCTTTGTTGCCCGGGTTGGGCTTGATTTTGTAATTCTTCTGCCTAAGCCTCCAGAGCAGCTAGGATTATAGGAGTACACCAGTGCACCTGGCCAGAATCAAGGTTTTAAGAGTTTTAAATCAAGCCCAATTCTCCTTCAGGGTGCTTTAATAAAATTTCACATCTCCAGTAGTACGCGTCTACACAAGGCTTCAAGAACTTGCAGATAATAATGAAAAAGGCAGCACTAGCCATATAGTAAAAACCAGGGTAAACTTATAAACTTCTAGAACTTTGAATATTGGAGTCTTATTAGCTGAAAGCATTTAAGCATTTTAGCAAAACCATTGAGAAATCATTGGCTGAATACTAAGCTGATCTAGGGGCACTCCAGAGCAAGTTGGACCTTAATTTAAAAACAAGAAAAAACGACTAATCAGAGAAATTAGCAGTGGCACCCTGTTTGGGGAGACAGAACAGAACACACAGTACCTTATATAAACAGCAACAGTTGTCAGTGATGATGGTGACAAAAATCACAATCTGATCAGTTTTCTTACCATTTATTGTTTTAAGATATTTAGTTTTCAACAAAATATGCAAAAAAATTAAAACCTGTGACCCATACAGAAGAAAATTAAGTCAACAAAAACTACCTCTGTGGGGTTCCACATGTTTGTCTCAGGAGACAAAGATTTCAAAGTAGCTATTATGTATTTTTAAATACATATGTCTAAAAAAATTAAATGAAAGTATGACATTAATGACTCAACAGATAGAGAATACCAATAAAGAGACATAAATTAAAATTATAAAGAATAAATGGAGGAGTTGGGATTGTGGCTCAGTGGCAGAGCGCTTGCCTAGCATGTGTGAGGCTCTGGGTTCGATTCTCAGCACCACATATCAATAAATAAAATAAAGCTCTATTGACAACTAAAAAAATATTAAAAAAAAAAAAGAATAAATAGAGGGCTGGGGTTGTAGTTCAGCAGCAGAGCACTTGCCTTGCATGTGGGAGGCATTGGGTTCAATCCTCAGCACCACATGAAAATGAATA